TCCAGGCTCTCACCTCACCCAGGGAGCATTTCACCATTTCCCACATCTTGTCTGAGCAAATCCCCAATATCTCAGGAACCACATGGAATTAGCATGCCGACTGAATCCTAAACCAACATTCATTCACTGTCCTGTTTATGTATTGGGTTGTAGACCATGAAAGGAATCACACTCCAGCAGGCTCATTAAGTAAACGTGGAGCAATCTAGCTTAGCAGAGGAGGGCTGGTATCTGAGAGACCTGAGTTCAAATATGGGCTGAGGAAGAAAACTCTTCTGTGACGCTTGCTAAGTATCCTAAGGGCAGCTCTGAAAGGCACGAAGGACAACAAGAGGCATGAATGAGTCCTTGAGATGGACTCCTATCCTTGCTGCCATGCACAGGGCTCTACAGATTTCCCCCTCCTCTGTTATTCAAAGCAATAAGCTAAAAGGGGACTAGGAGAAGAAACAAGTTAAATAAAAGGCTCGTGAACACATCTTCTCCCTGCTGTCACTGCATGGGCTTGGGTCTTCCACAAGGCCTCTTCCAGCCCAAACCTCAGAGCACTCGGGCAGCTACACTGAGTGCTGGCTTCACAGGTGAAAAGCTGTAGCCAAAAGACGGGGAAACGAATCACATCCTCTACCTTCAGTAAATGGCACCTTTGCTCTTACAGGCATCTTCACTGCTTCCATCCTCATTCCAGAAGGACACCATCCCCATTTCAACTGCCCTAGCGCACCCTAGTGGGAACCCGCTCCCTGCACAGCCGTGTAGCAGCCCTGCAATAGACGACTCACCTCCGAGAAACGCTGCCTTGCCCCTTTGCTTACACATCACAGGCTGCTTCCTCACTCACTGACACGGGGTCTTACGCTCCGGGATTCGTTGTCTCACCGCATGGGAGTTCCAGACAATAGAATACACAACAATTTGCCAACAGAAGAAACTATTTCTTACTTTTTTATTATTATTATTCTTTCTACGCTTGGATAGGAAGAAACTACAGCGAGGAAAGGAATGGGAACATTGAGAAAATAAATTGTTGCTTGGTTTATGCACCTTTGGGTCTCATTCATAATCCAGGGTGTCATGAGAATAACTCAGGCTGAAATCTGCAAAATTTGTTCTATTACAAGGAAATTGTTTCTTTTGCAGAAAAAGCATTAGAAAGTAATAGCAAAGCTTTGGGAAAATCCAACAACTAATGTTGGTGCTTGAAATGGAAACATAACCTTTAAAACCCATTGTGCACGTGAAGCTCTCTGGTGTCTCTGAATCTTAGCATCATCTCTGCATCTTTATGTGACTGCGATGATGGATTTACAGACAGCCAATAAACAGCATGCCAGCCCCAGGGAGGTGATTTAAATGAGAGTACAGGGAAAGAAAAGGTGCTCAGGATTCACAGACTGGCAGCACAGCTTGAAAGAGATCTTCAAACCCATTCAGTTCCAGCCCCTGCTGAGGGCTGGTTGCTACCCACCAGACTGGACTGCCCAGGGCCCCATCCAGCCTGGCCCTGCATACTGCCATGGATGGGGCAGCAACAGCTTCTGCAGGCAGCCTGTGCCAGTGCAAGGGTTGAAAAAGCAACACTAAATGAGAGCTCTTGAATCTCTCCAGTTACTCCCAGCTAGTCCATTCATTAGCTAAGCTGCCCAAGTCAGCTCACAGGTTTGGTAACTAGTGGCAAATGGCCTGGACAGCATGAGGCAGCTTTTGATCTCGGTTAAAGAGCTTAGCAGCTCTTTTTCTCCTGGCATACCCCAAAAAGACTTCACCCTACAGTTCTTGCAAGCTCTTAAAGCAAAAAGGTAGATAAACAGCAGCACAAAAATACAGTGCTAACCACTGAAAAACAATCTGTATTAAGCATTCCATCCCCATCCTTGTTGTATTATATTTGAGACAAGGCATTTGAAGCCTGCTTGAGCAATCACTTTTATGAGTTCTCAATGTTGTGATGTGTAGTCTCATAACATTGACTGTAGGGATATATACAAATACTTGCAAAACTCATACTCTTTGACTATAAGGCGCCTAGAGAAACTGAGGTCCAGCACATGGCAAAAAGCATCCTGAAGGAAGATGCCAAGCACCAGAACAAGGCAGATGGTAGGAAAGCCGCTTTGGATGTAACACATTTCTGACTTACACTTCTGTAATGCAATAGAAAGTGGAGCAACCACAGCAGAGTAACAAGGTCTTAAGCTACTAAGTGAGGGTTTGCCCAAACACAAGAACCCTGGACACAGAAACAAAGGAAAGAAACTACTTACCATCAGAAGGCCTCAGACACACAGGGATCTCCAGCACAATTCCATTACTTCCATTGCCAGCCTTTAAATAAGGTCTGGGAAAGAGTGGATCCTGTCTCCATCCCTTCTCGTCACTGAGATGCACTGCATGCACCTGAGCTCCCCTGGGCTGACCCTGTCTTCCCACCAGGTGCTCAATCACTGCTTCAGGCCATGACAGCATTTCTACAACAACCTCCCTATTTCCTATTTAAATAACTGCCAGTAAATAAAACTGTTTGGCTATAGATGCATGCATCTGCTTTCCACCTTCCTAAACACGACTGTGCTAAGACAGCATTTCTGCATGCAGGTAGTACAGAAAGTACATAAAAGAGGCAAGAGGTTGTTTGTACGTGAACAGAGCATGCAGAGGCATACAGATAAAAGCAGGGAAGCAAGCTTGTTTATGAAACCAGTATAGCATGATAAATAATTTCCAAGTTGAAGACTTTTTGTCTAAGTAGCAATGCACACAGTAACGTGCTTTTATCAAAGAGACCTCGTGGCCATGAGGCATGTTTGCTGAGGCCACTGCTGTAGCACTCATCGTGGATGACACCTTTCTTATCGAGGCAGGGCTGCAGAGACTTGTGCTTTGGTACCTATATTCTGGATTGGGTCTTTCCTGGTTCACTGCTAGGTAAAGCCCACTCTGCTGCCAGCCCCCCACCAGCTGCAGGGATAGCTGGAGAAACCTAGGTTGGCCTCCTACCCTAACAAATTAACACACAGCCAAATTAACCTGTTTTCTCTACATTCCTCTTGGCCATGAAAAAAAGTAACAATAGAGAATAAGCTTAAACAGGGACTCACAGCCAAGCTGGAAAGCATTGCTATTACTCCCTGTGGTCTCAAAAGAAGGGAATCTAAGGTATTGCCCTGACAACAGCAAAATCAGGAACACCATCCCTTCTGTGTGTCTATTCAACTTCACTCTCCTTTTGCATCTCACACAGCACAGCACATTGCTAATTAAGTCTGAATTTCCTCTCCTGGATGTAGGCCTGGTACAGTTTAGAAATAACCTTAATTTAGTATCTATAATTGTAGTATTTACCTCTTCCCGTGATTTCCGGTATGATGCTACTGTGGCCTTGGCTCAAGGTGAACTTCTTGCTTAGTTAGGTGAACTGCTTGCTTAGTTATCAGTGAAGCCTGAAGCAAAGGATGGTCGCAACCTTCCACCCCCTGAACAAATCTGAGAGATACAGCTCTTCCTGCGACCTTTCTGCATCTGTCTGTAACACCAGAAAAACTCCAGTCAGACATCACTCCTATCGAATAAATAAAGGAATGTGAGCAGAGCACAAGGCATTTGAATATCTTGTAAATATCACCAAAGAGAAATCACCCCTGTTAATTTGTTAAGCTCTATAAAGCAAAACTAAACATTTTGGGAGGCGGATGATTTATTTTCTTGGTGCGGCCACCCCAAAACCAGGATGCTTCTGTCACATCTATATCAATACACAACAGCACACAGCCAGGACAGCCATGGGCACCATCCTGGACATCAGACCAAGGGGAAACGGTGTAAACTCAAACCTCCCCCCTTCCACACAAGCTCCTGAGCAAACAGGAGCCTCACCTCAAGCCAAGGGACTGGATTGAGGGACAGCAAACTCGCTGGACAAGCAAAAAATCCCGAATGCCACAATTTATGCTGATAATGCCTTTTTGTTTGTCTGAAAGCAGTATCAGCTCTGTCCTCTTGTGCATAGGCCAGCATGGCCATCTGCTTGCATCTGCAGCATCTCCAAACACCCTGCTTTGCAAGCAGCATGCACAGCGGTCCTTAGCATCTCCCAGAATATGCTGCCCCAGAATATGCAATTGCTCTCCAACCCCAGATAAATAAGCAGAGCCCCATCCAATCTTTCATTTTCACATCCATTCATCATCCCCAAAGCCCACCTTGGCTGCACCGCTCTGCACTCCGTGTACAACAGCAGTTCTCTCCAAGGTATGTATTTTCATAATGATGGTGCTCATGTACCACTTAGCAGTATATTTTCATTTGGCCCCAGCCGCGCTCCTGAGCAGTAATTTATTACTGCTTGTCACTAGCTGCTACTCAGAGTAATACATATACCAACTTTATTTAGTGTTCTGTATATCTTGCTCGACTTTCTTACACAGACAATACTGCCCAAGCCTACGGACCCACAAATCACAACAGCCTGGTTTTCTGGGTGCGCTTCCCAGTTTGCTGTAGGATCTGCAACCTTGCATTTATTTCTTCTTTTCTAATGCACAGCCTGCCTGCTCCCAGCGTGCAGGGAGCGGCTCCTTGGGAGATACAAGCCCAACAGATGCACGCGTGGAAGTCCCAAATCAAAACTCAGGATGAAAGGAGACGGCCTGAAGTCGCACCACGGGAGGTGCAGGTTGGATTGTAGGAATAATTTCGTAGAAGGAGCGGTGCAGTGCTGGCACAGGGAGCAGTGGGTCACCGTCTCTGGAAGCACTCACGATGTGGCACTGGGGGCCGGGCTGGGGTCAGACTGCGAGACTAGCGGTCTGTTCAAGCCTAATAACTCCACGATTCCATAATAAACGTGAAGCACGCCGCTAAGAACTGCTGCTAGAGGCCATCCTGCAGCTGCGGCGCGGCCACAGCTTCCCCACACAGCCGCACGGGCCCAAGCGGGCCCTGCAGCACAACGCTTTAAGCGGCAACGTTTAACCCGAGCTCTGCCTCTTCCTCCCCGCCCTCTCGACCCGGGGTGGGGCGGAGGTCCCACGTGGTGCTGCTGCTGGAGCCCAAATCCCCTCGGGCCGCCCTCCATCGCTCCTTTCCTTCCTCCCTTTCTCGCCCGCAACGCGCGCCATGGCCGCCCGGCAGCAGCTCGGTAACGCGGGGCCGGGGGGGAGGGGGGCGCGCGCGCAACATGGCGGCCGCGCGGCGGTTATGCGCTGAGGGGTGGGTTTGAAAGTTGCGGAGCTTCTGAAGGCCTCATCTCCCACGTCGCGGCCTTTTCGCCTTTCAGCTTTGCTCAGCGTCTCGGAGAAGGCGGGCCTGGTGGAGTTCGCCAGGAGCCTGAACGCGTTGGGTCTGGGCCTCATCGCCTCGGGAGGAACGGCCGCAGCGCTGAGGGATGCGGGGCTGCCCGTCAGGTACGCCTATGGTCCCGTGCCACGCTGCGCGACCGCCGCGCCTCACGTGGAGCCTCGTCCTCTGCCGTCCGACACTCAGACTTACTGCCCCCCCTCGCTTGGTTATCAGCGAAGCCTGAAGCAAAAGGTGGTCGCTTTTCCCTGTCCATGGGAATGAGTATTCCCAAGGGATGGCGTTGCAAAAGATGGCAACCTTCCATCCCCGAATAAACCCAAGAGATCCAGCTCGCCCTGCCACCTTTCTGCGTCTGAATGATGCATCTTAACGTTGCCAGTAGATCAGAATGCCCCCTAAGGCGAATTAAACACTGAACCTGTAGGCGAAGTCATTGTGGTACTTGAGTTGATGATGCTGTGTGTTTTCTCATTGAGCAGAGACGTTTCGGACCTGACAGGGTTCCCTGAGATGTTAGGAGGACGTGTGAAAACCCTTCATCCTGCAGTCCATGCTGGTATGTTTCTGATGGTGTGTTTCCAGTCTGAAAGAGAGATCCGTGGGCAGGGAGGGTGGAAGGAAGAGATTGATGGATGTGTGTCTTTTAAGGATTGTGAGGAAGAACTGAGAAATAAATACAGATTTGCTCTAGCAGCAAAAGGAGAGGTATGATGCACGAGGTGGAGAAGAAGCGTGTGGTGGTTGAATTACTTCCTCTGCTCCTTTGCTGGCATCTCTGCAATTAGAGCTTTCCATCCCTGGAGCTAGAAGTAATGGAGCTCCTCTGCAGATGCGTTTGTGACTTCTTTGTTTAAGCAATTTCAGGCCTGCTCAGGCAGAGAGCTCCACTGATTTTTAACCCATGGCTGAATTTGGTGTGCAGCAGAAGGAACGTGACAGTATAGTCTTTAGGGGGTGATTTCTGCGTGCTGTGATCTTTCCTGGCTCTAAGACCTCAGCCAGCTGCCTGTGCTGCTCTACTAGAGGCACAGCCTCTTGCTTCAGTTGTTTCATAGCTTTGCTTATTGCTGGCTGATGAGTGACAGGTGTCTCTTTCCTCTCCATGATCTCCTTGTCAGCTTTAGCATTCCCAGGTTACCAAGGGAATGTTTATAAAGGATGGCATTGAGGTTGCTGTTCAGCACTTGAAATCCTCCAGAATTTTGTATTGGGGGGAAAAAAAAAAATTGTTAATGTAGAGTTTGAACAACCACAGAGCCAGGAAAATGGAAGAGAGGCTGAGGACCATCTGAACTGGAGTGGAAAAGCTTATGGATCTGAGAAGCACAGTCTGAAGAGAAGTGCTGAATTCAAAAAAATGTTTGTTGCAGCATCAGTTCTTTATTTTAATGAGGATGTGCTATTTTTGTAACTAGGCATCTTGGCTCGCAGTATTCCAGAAGATAACGCTGATATGAACAAACAAGATTTCAGCCTTGTAAGGTAAATTCTGGGGAAGGTGAGATGCAATGTGTCAGTAATCAGAAATGAACGTTGGAAATCAGTGGATGCTGGTGGATGGGAGCAGTAGGGGATCTGCATACCAGAAAAACTGCGGTCTTCTTCCTCTTGGGAGATGTTATGTTTTTAAAAGCATGATTTTCTGCACTGCACAAACAATTTAAACAAAGTTACAAAGTGTTTTCCGTGGAATTTTTATCTGTGAATTTTGAGACTTGTTGGGCCCTTATTACTGTTACTGCAAAATTGAATTCAGTGCTTTTGGAGCTGGTGCAGCTCCTCTCCGCTCGGCTCTGGGTGTTTGATCAGATGGCAGTACTTGCTTAGTAAACATACCCTTTGAGATTTACATAATGTTTACTGAGTTTCAACATGAGTAAAGACTAGATGTGCAAAGCAGGTCAAGAACACGCATCGTTTGTGAGACAGAAAACAGATGAAAACCAGAAAACTTACTTGGCCACCCTGAGAAAGAGTTGGAGCCAGAAAATGAAGTCACACAGTTCATGCACTAACACATGCACAAGATTATTTTTTTTCTCTCGTTTTTGTTAGAATGCATTTACTTGCTGTTCTTATGCAGGGCAGCTTGGGACTGTTTTAACTACTTGATTTTAGCAATGTAGTGATTGTGAGCAGCCACTTCTGTCACTAGTTAGGTTTAGAAATAAGTGGTTGAATCATACATAGTAAGTTGTAGATGTAGCCAAGACAGAGGGGTATAGATTGCCTATGGTGAGTAGGCCAGAGTCCATCTCTGTGGTTTTTGTTTGAATGATTTCAAAGGACCTGTGCCTAGGATGAATGGGTTTCCAGGCTGAATTTGAAAACCTGGAATTTAAAACCACAGGAGTCCTCATAGATGACTGCAGTGGGAGCCGTTCAGAATACATTGCATTTTAATGGCAGGCTCTGCTGAGTTATAGGGCAGTCATGTTTTTACATGAGTGACATCAAGTCATGCATTTGCATCCAAAGTAATAATTTAGATCATCTTATGTAAAGCAGAAGGAGCTGATCCTCAGTAGGGGGGGTCTTTGTATGGTTGCATTAAGTTTTCCGACATGATGTGGGTAGGTAACCTTGATATTATCTTGATTTCCACAGATAAAAGCATTAGCAAAAGTCTGCAGATTGCTGATGGTTTGCAACGGGTCAGGGGCACAAATGGATGGGAAGAAGAGAGTAGTGGAAACAGAACAGGCAAAAAAAAGTTATAGTAGGAATTCAGAGACACAGGATGGTGTTGTGGGACGCAGGCTGTGCACTAAATACCTCTCAGGTTTCACATGTTGTTGTTTTTTTTAATTATAATGCCACTGCCAGAAAGTGGCATTTAGGGTGTCTTCTGCTCTTGGAAAAGTTGAGGAAAATCAGATTGTTTGGTTGTGCTTTGTTTGCAGTGCTTGCTATTACATGAAAGTTGGTTGATGCTTATTTTCAGTAGTGCTGAGAGCCAGCTCTGAAGTTCTTTGAAATGGCACCAAAATGACAAAACGTTTGAACACAGGACCATGCATTGAAAGGAATTCTTCCTTAGCTAGCTGTAAACTGTGGCACTAACCACTGTAACACTGTATAATGCATAGAGCTAACCTGTATGTGCCTGTGATACCACCCCCATGGTGTTTCACCATTGTAACGCCTCTTGCTTCATGGCTGTACACCACCATTCTTCTGGAAAAAGCCTTGCCTGTAGGATCTTACATTGATCACACCACAAAAACCTTGTGCATATCAAGTCAAGCCTGACCATGCAACTTCTTGCTGAGTAACCCTGATTTCTCCTTAATTCTCAGAGTTGTGGTGTGTAACCTCTACCCCTTTGTGAAGACTGTGTCTTCTCCGGGTGTAACTGTACCAGAAGCAGTGGAAAAGATTGACATTGGTAAGTTAAAGGAAGAATAAACTTATTCTCCAGGCAGACTTAATGGTTCTTGAAGTGATCTCAGTCCTTTTTGTTTGGAGGCCTTGCGTGCTTGTAAGGAATCATCAGACATCTGTTTGATTTTGTGGGAGTACAGGGAGTGAGTTTGTAACTCTAGGATGCTTTCTTGCAGGAACAAAATGCTTTTGCTATACCCCTTTTGTAAGTTATGGTCACAGGAACAATTTCTGTGCTGTGACTAAAGGAAGGAGATAAAGGATCCTGTACCCTAAGATGTTTCTGTCTGTGGCCTCCAGGTGAGCTGGCCACTTAAGCTCATATGGATTACTTGCTCCTAGCAATAGTTACCAGGTCATCTATGAACATATTGACAGCAACAGGATTATTCTCATCACACGCTCAAAACATCACATCCATGGTTGTTGGCGTAGGAAAATAAATTAAGGACAACCAAGCCAGGCTGCTGGTGTGTTGTGAGAATATTCAAGAAGGAAGCGTGTTACTGAGAACTTCTCTGTGTCAGGCAGAAGTTGTGTGCAGAAACTACCTGCTGATAACTTGCAAACTAGTTCTTTTGACAGCCAATCTCACCTTGACATGATGTAGTTTGTAGTGAGCATCTAATACTGCAGTAAATCTGCAGCTCTTATTGCAACTGCCTCCTTCTGGGAAAGAATGAAGATGGGCCACAGATTCTGTCTTCTGCATCACTTCCTAGGAACATGCAGGAAATTAGTTTTCCTGGTGGCTTTTTCTCCTCCACTGAAGTCAGCTGAGGAGCTCGAGGGCTACAAGGAGGAGACTGAGGGGCACAGCTGGGTAAACCTCACTGCTTTTAAGCGATAGCAAGTGGCTGTTTAAACAGGCTGGCAGGCCGTGCTGTGTAAATGGGGGAGGTGTGCACTGCTCAACATAAGGGACTACAAGGAAGGAGAATGTAGAGCGTGCTTCCTACTGAGAGCCAATTAAATCTCTTCTAGAACCTCTTGGAGCTTAATAAAAACAAAAACCAGTTTTGGAGAGAAGAGGCTGAACTGGGAAGACATTACAGGGAAAGAAGTGGGTCTGCATGTGCAGGAGGGTAGTTAGGGATCTGAGTTTAGAAGCACGGATGCCTGTATTATCAGCAGTTCTGCTCTTCGTGCTGGTTATTAACCCCCAAAGACTTGCCTTTGCTTCGCTGCAGCATCTCTGCACAACAGCTTGTGCACAGTGCAGGCACAGTTTTGTGCCATGAGATTGGATTGGGATTGAATTTTCTTGCAGTAGTTTAGTCCAAACGATGCCCAGCAGAGCTCTTTATTAAATGTTTTATGAAGTAGTACTTGCTCTGTATGTAGCAATGCCAGCCTCTGCTTTTCTGTTGCTACAGCCTAGTATCCTATATGATTTAAAGTGTTATAATCGCTGTGCAGAGTCAGATTTAAGGGGGAGGCATGGCCTTTTATCTCACACAGAGGACCTGCACAGTATTCATTAATATTTGCAGAGAGATTTGAGAACCTCAGTTGCTTGGTAGAAGAGAAATAAATCTTCCTGTAGACTCCTCCCCAGCCCCACGTTCCTATCAGAGGAGCAGAGGATGGTGTTTAAGCAATATGTGCAGATAGCTGTCCTCTTCAGGATGTGGCTGTGCTGCTGGAAGGTGTTCTTTCCCCAGGTGCTCTGCACAGCATGAGACTCAATTACTTTCTCATCCCTGCAGCTGTGCTGTTTTTTTGCACCTTCAGCACTGGTTTGAATCATACTAGCTGACTGCCTCGTGCGTTTTTGAGATGCTGTTATGGCCCCTTTTCTCAACAGAGCCCGGGGAGGTGGGCACATCCACCTGCCACAAGTGACTGCTTGGTGTGTGTGTCCCTTTTTTGCCTCGCATGCTGAGGTTGTGCTGAGTCCAGGTGAGAAGTGCCTTGTTCCTCCATGCTTCTTTTGCAGGAGGAGTTGCCTTGCTCCGGGCAGCTGCTAAGAACCACGCTCGTGTGACAGTTGTGTGTGATCCTGCAGACTACTCTTCTGTAGCTAAAGAGATGGCAGCATCAAAGGACAAAGACACTTCAGTAGAAACCAGACGTCACCTTGCACTGAAGGTGAGACATGCTTGCTCACAGCAGAGGCCAAGGCTACTTTGTCTTTGATTTGAAAGGCTGAATCGTTTGGAAGCTGATGTTTGTAAGCTGACAAGCATCCTCCGTTCTGCCCCCAGGCTTTCACCCACACTGCTCAGTACGATGCAGCCATCTCTGACTACTTCAGGAAGGAGTACAGCAAGGGGGTGTCCCAGCTGCCCCTGAGGTACGGCATGAATCCTCACCAGAGTCCTGCACAGCTCTACACCACCAGGCCTAAGCTTCCCCTGACAGGTGAGGCCCTGGCAAGGGGGAGCATAAAACAGGGTGGGTGGGCGAGCAGGCATGTCTGCCAGTGCCTTTAGAACTGAGATACCATCTTGTACTTAATGCAAGGGGTGCCCAGCAGTATCTGATGTTAAACCACTTTATGCTGAGGGTCACTGTGTTTGTGATGGGAAGGTTGAGCCACGTGAGACAGAAAAGCTTGTCTCCTCATCCCCATGAGACTTAATGGGAGCTCCATGTTCTCTCTGAGTGTAAGTTGGTGTGTCCACACTGAAGACCTTCAGGCAGTTCCACGTAATGGGCTTCTTGTTTGACATCAGCTTGAGGTTTTGCAGAGGAAAAGTCGTCATCTTTTCAAGATGCTTTTCTGCTCATGCTCTTCATTTAGTACATGCCCAGTCTTCTCATGTCCCCAGTTGCTGTCCAGGAATCAAGCTGTTCTTCTCCAGGCTTGAATGATTTCTGTTACTTTTCCTTCTGTGACAGTTTTGAGCAGGAAAATTGCCTCAATTTTCCAGAGTACTGTTGCTGCTAATGGTGACAGTGTCAGGGAATACCAGTCTCACTTGCAAGGGTTGAGTCACGCCTGGTGTCTGTCTTCTCCTTTTTACCAGGTGCACACCCCCCACAGCCTTATGCCGTGGGGGAATCTCTAGTTTGGAGAAAACAAAAGTCACCAGACTTTCTTTCTTAAGATCATTTTTAGTGCTGGTGAAAAGAAGCTCTGCCTTGTATCTTCTAGGAAGCTTTTCTACTCCTGTACTGGAAGCAGATTCACTTTCAAGTCTGCCTCCTAGGTTTGGCAGCAAAATAATACTGTGTTCACCTGTCTGGCTACGTATTGTTATGTTTCAAGAGACAAGAGTTGTTTAAGCTTCTGAAATGATCCCAGTCCTGCTTTGTCAGTGCTGATCTTGCAGTTTTATGTGTGCTGGGGCAAAAGGTTTTGGGAGCAGACTTCCAAAGGACTTTTACTCTTGGTCCTTTGGTCAGAAATCTGTGCCAGATCAAGCACTTTGCTCTAAGCTTTGTGGCTGTGAATGGTTCATTTGGCAATAACTGGAGATGCCATGCATTTAGTTTAGCCACTGAAGCTTTCCAGGATGGTTAGCCTGTTGCTGAGGAGCCTGGATCATTTTTAAAGAGCAGTGTTGTACCAGTTCCCATTTCTGGTGGGGAAACAACCTCTGCAGACTCTAGGGAGAGGGCCTTGCCTGCTTTAATCTGTTTGTACTCTACACTTGCAGTGGTGAATGGCTCTCCAGGGTTTATCAACCTGTGTGATGCTCTCAACGCCTGGCAGCTGGTGAAGGAACTCAAGCAGGCATTAGGGATCCCTGCTGCAGCCTCCTTCAAACACGTCAGTCCTGCAGGTAGAGTGGCTCCTTGCTGCCATACTTTTCTCTTTGACCAGACTGACTTTGGGCAGGCCCTGCCAGTGGTACCTGTGTCTTAACAGGGCCCCAGGAGCAGGGCTCGAGGGAAGGGTTCTGGTTTGAGTGCCCTGCTTGTGTTTCCCACTAGGTGCTGCTGTTGGAGTACCTCTCAGCGAGGAGGAGGCACAAGTCTGCATGGTGCATGATTTACACAAGACCTTGACACCCTTGGCATCTGCCTACGCTCGAAGCAGAGGTGAGAGGCCCGGGAATAAACTAACCTGTCCCAAGAGTTCTGCTTAAGGCTCTACTCTGAACAGCCTGTTTTGCTTTTTGCTGGCTCTCCCCTTTGTAGTCTACTCCTCCTCTTTAGGTTTTTCTCCAGAAGCAACTGACTAAATGAACAAACTGCCCACATATCAGAATCTGCTGTCCAAGTGAGCTAGGCTGGAAGCACACTCAGCCTTCTGCAGATGAGATTCCTGCTAGGAAATACTTACGTGAACAGGAATGTTTCTTCCCAATATTTTTTTTTCTATATACTTTTGAAGTTCAGAGCTTACAAAAAAACCCAAACACTTAGAAATCAAAATTTCCTCCTCAGCTTAGCTGAGATACTTTGCTAATTATCTCACTGTCTGTGGCAAAAAAGAAAAACCTGACAGATTATGGAAGACAAAGTGAACATAGGTACAGTCAAGTTAAAGGATACATTGGCACGTGTGCTTCATTTTTCACTACTTTAGGGACCACTTTTGGTCACTGCCCACAGAAAGCCAGTGTATGATTGTGGAAATATTCTGCCACAGTTGGATGAATGACTAGAAAATGTCATTTTGCAGGTGCTGATCGGATGTCTTCTTTCGGTGACTTCATTGCCTTGTCTGATACCTGTGATGTGCCTACTGCTAAGATTATTTCCAGAGAGGTTCGTTAAGCAGCAGTAAATCATTTGAGGGAAAAGGGAGCATCACAGTAGATGGAGTCGTTGGTTTGTGGCAGTGTTTGGATTTGACCTGTTTAACTCAAAGCCATTTATTGGCTGTTCAGAGGATTCAGTGTCTGGGGCGCTGGGAGCTGATGCTTTACAGGACACTCATCCTGCTATGTGTTGCTTCTGATTTTCTTGAGAGGAGAAAGCACAGTGCAAGAGGCTGTCTTGTGCATTGGTGATTTCTTTACAAATAAATGAAAGGTGGTGTTTGTGAGGACAACATTTGGTACTCGATTAAAACAACAGAGCAAAAAACCCATCGTTGTTAGGTGATGAGGATAGGAACGAAATACATTTAAACTTCATGCTTCGTGGCACTGATTAATGTAAACTCATCTTCAACACTGTTAAGGCTGTGTTTTGTTGACTTTCTGTGTCATCAAGAGGATCACTGTTGAAATAACTATAATATATATAATTATGTTTTAGGCATGTTGGAGCTGAGAAGTGAGGATGTCACAAGTAGGTAGTTTTACCCCTAGAAGAGTACATTAGTTATCAATTCTGTTGTGTATAAAGAGAGGTTTGGGGTTTTTTTTTTCTCCTGACTCCTGCTATGGGCTGAACATCACTGCTGTTTCCTGTTTCAAGGACTGAAACAGATGCTGTAGTAATGCCTTCAGTACTATATAGTACTTAGAGACCTCTGAGAGGCAAACCTTTGCCTTTCTGGATATGGCAGGGAGAGTTTGCAGTGTTAGCCCCTCTCTTTTTGACATAGGTGCTGAGATCTCTGTGTTGCAGGTATCTGATGGTGTGGTAGCTCCTGGCTATGAGGAAGAAGCTCTCAAAATCCTTTCCAAAAAGAAGAATGGTGCTTACTGTGTCCTCCAGGTTTGTAGTCCTGCTGCCCTCCAGCCCTGCAGTGCTCTCCCTGTACCAGATGTCAGTGTCTGGATAGCACCCACAGCTATCTGGACCAGGGAGTCCAGACTTCCCTGCAGTGTAAACCAAACACATCCTACTTCTGCCTGAATCTGAGTACAGAACATTAACATTACAGGAAGAAAATCCAAGGCTTAGCTGAAATGGCAATTGTAGCCTTGCTACCAAGGGAACTGTAGAAGATGGCTCCGGAGCTTCAGGCAAGGAAGGAATGAAATTGCAGACAATCTTGGCAGCTGATTACCTCCTGAATTCAATTAGCTTGGCAAGGATGAGGTTGTATTGGTTAAGTCTGTAGCTTTAGGGCCTGTCTGAACAGGGGTACTAAGGAAAGTTGATCTGAAGTAACTTCAAGGGATTAGCAAAACCATACCAAGTGTGTACATGGTTGTATTTGGAGCTAGTAGCCTTAACCTGGTTTATTTCATGTCTCAATTAGCTGAACAGGGGCTGTCAGAACTCTAAATCACCTGTGCTTGGGTAGACCTTAATGCAGTTTAAGAGTTCCATTTAACTTGGCCCCGTACTCTTGTGTGGCTTAACTGTGCTGCAAGCTTCTATGGGTGTTCTCTGGAAATAATTGTGTGCACTGGTTTGATGTTGAAGGCTTTGGGAGTCGTACATTCAGGTGTACAGGAACTCTCCTCAAAATATTTCTGACTTTGCTGTGTGTGTGGATGCTTTGTGAAAGATGGGAAGGCTTTGTAGATCTGTTGGCTTTCGACACAGATGGTTGTATATCAGCATGTAAACTGCTCTACCCCTCTTCACCCTTTCATTGTCGCCTCCTGCTGTTGAGACCTTAGTGCTCCAATTAATTCTAACTCCTCCTGATGTTCTAACACTGCTTTCTCTGAACAGTTCACTTCTGGATTCTTTTGAGCACGTTCCAACCTAAGCTGTTACTCGAGCTTTGAAGAGCTCAGTGTTTTATTGCCCTGTCTGTTGGCTTTTAGATGGACCCTAATTATGAGCCAGATGACAATGAGATTCGAACCCTCTATGGATTGCAGCTCATGCAGAAGAGGAACAATGCTGTCATTGACCAGTCCTTGTTCAAGAACGTTGTTACAAAGAATAAAACTGTAAGTCTTAGAAGATAAAGGAGATAAAAAACTGGTAGAGCTACATGATGTGCTTTCATCAAGGAAGTCAGCCCTGTTGTATGTTAAGACCTCTTGCATTTTAATGGCATGAAGCTTTCTACAAAACAATGCAGCAAGCTTTTTGGCCAAAAATGCTTGGGCAAACCAGGGTAGTTTGCTTTTGTTTCAATTCCTGTGTAAATAAGAGAAGCTGGGCCCTGTCCTTTATTTCAGACTACCAAAATATTTATATTTCTTATTTCTGAGAAGTCACTTTGTTTCATTTCTTAGGGTGAGACGGTGTGTTCTAGGCATCCACTGTGATGCCACTCTGACTCACTGTGTTGTTCTTCCTCTTATATACAGTGCATAAACTCAGGCCTTCCTGATGTTGCTCATCACTTAGGGTCCACATCATCAGATAACTATTAGTTATTCCAGTGTCTCACTGTTCTCATTAAAAAAACAGATGTTAATGAGTACGTTATTAGTCACAGGATCAGAAGCAAGCTCAGACCTTGAGGTAATAAAAATCATATTAATAAATCAGCAATGGAGTGTACTTGAATCATCATTTGATGCAGATTTCATAAGCTGGTATTATGGTGCTGTGCACAGGTGAGTATATGCTCAGCTTTTGGCCTGTGAGCACTCCTGAGGACAGGAAACAAATCCAGAAGGCTTTGCAGGATGAGGGCTGCTGATAGAACGATCTGGACCTGGTAAGATTGAGTCAGTGAGATTGACAGTGGCATTTTTGTTTCAGCTGCCTGAATCTGCTGTCCGAGACCTGATTGTTGCCAGCATTGCTGTCAAATACACCCAGTCCAACTCAGTGTGCTACGCCAAGGATGGGCAGGTAACCAAACCAGACTGCTCTGGGGACTGCGCTTCCAAGCCAAGCTGATCAGAGTGCTTTGGTCAGGCACAGGGTTTAAAATCATTTAGCACAGAGGAAGCTATGAAACAAATATCCCAGGCTGGATGTGGCTCTGGGCAGCCTGGTCTGGTGGTTGGTGACCCTGCACGTAGCAGGGGGTTGAAACCTGTCAGTCATCATTGTGGTCCTTTCCAACCCTGGCCCTTCTGTGGTTCTATGAAATACAGATGAACTGCCCTAGAACAGAACAGTAGCTAAGCGTGTTTCTCTTAAAGTTGCTTCAAAACCTAAACCTAACATATTTTTTTCATGGTAATGACAAGGCTGGCTCTTTCAATGATAGGGTTGGTAAAGTTCTTACGTGCTTCTGCTAGTTAGGCCTTGAGTCATTTCTTTGTAACTGTTCTGCCTTTAGTCGTTTTGTGAGGGCATGTGCATATGCTGTGGTCTGTTTAAAGCCTTAGGAAGTGACAGTAGCTTTCACAGCTGGATTCTGACTGTCCCAATGGGTCAGAGCTTTATTTTATTTCCATTCTAACGCCCTGCGGGCATCAGAAATCTTCTGTGCTTTTTGGTTTTTAAGAGCTTACAATGGATGTTGGAATTCAGGGGGGTGTTATCAGATGTGGGATACTGATCTTGAATTCTGAAGTCCTAAGTCATCACTAGGTGTTCAGTTCAAGTCAGTAATCCGAAAGTTGTTGTAAACATGTTGAAAATTATTATTATTTATTTTTGGCCCAGAGGCTCATGCTTGTAATGCTGTTGTTCAGCTGGCTCTGTGCTCTCCACCACAACTTTTCCCTAACTCAGGTTGTTTAAAAATCGTAATGATTCAGAAATAGAAGCCAAAGAATGCTGGTGGTCTCATAAGATGCATCAAGCAAATGTGTTTCAGGTACAGACTGTGAATGAACTGCAGTGCTGTTCTTACATCTGCATGTGTCAGATTGTTTTTACAGCCTGGAAACACTGCAGCACTGCCTCACAGTATTTTTTAGGCTCACGTGCTGCATGGCTCTTGAAAACACCTCTCTGGAGACCTGGCATTTTTTTTTCCTCTTCCTTACTGTTTTTTTCTTGCTCTTGAATGGATCTCTGTCCTCAAAAGCATTAATTCTCATGGCCCCAGAACAAAGGTGACACTATCTATGCTCCTTTTCCCTTAATACAGCAGCAGTTTCCTTAGTGCTTTGTTAAATCTAGACTTAGCATGTTGCTGCAGCTGCTTCTGCACTGTGTGTGTGGTAATGTGTGTGCCATATGGAAGGAGGAAGGCATGAAGGAGGCATGGAAGGCAGCATGGGCAGGCAGGGGTGTAAGCAGCCTTGCTTCATTGATGCTTTGTGTATTTGCAGGGATGTATTTCAGTCAAGTATTAATGTACATTGTCTTGGTTTGCTGTATATGTGACAGGAAAGGCAAAGAGGAGAGGTTTGTATGCTGCAGTCTGTCTTGTAAAGGTCAGCAGCCATTCCAATCGCTTACTCAACAAGAGTGGCAGATCTGTGTTCAAATCAAAGCTTAATGTCTTCCTAATGAGACTTCAAGAGTCCAAATGCAGAAATAGCAGTGTAGCATGCTGCAGGTGATGATGGAGGAGCTCAGATTGCAGCTGTCTGCCAGGTTTGAAATGTCAAAAAAGCCTCTTGAGGCTGCTCAGCAGTGAGACCGTTGTTCCCAAGATGGGCAGGAAATCATGTCCACAGAAAAAGAGTCTTAAGATGCTGGTAAGTTCAGGTTTGTTGTGGTGATGCTGTGCAGAATTAACAGCTGATGATATCTCCTACTGTGATGTGACACCAGCTGTGCTCAGGAATATTTGGGTGCAAAAGAAAATAGCAAGAATCGAGAGTGGGGAACAAGAAGTAATTTCCAGTTCAAATCCATTTCCAGGATGTGACTTATTGAGGTTATGTGAGCCACGCTGGGGGAATCCAGTGTTCTTTCAGTTCCATTGCTTTTGTTTTTCCAGGGGTTGTTTCAGCTTTGCACTGTTTCTGTTCTGTTCCAACACTCCCTTGCATCAGATAACCAGAGCCTTTTTGACAGCCTGGCTTCACTACTGCTCCAGCTGGGGCTTGGTGTTAATGAGTCCTAGGGAAGGCTGGAGTGGGAGGAAGCATTAATGGGCCTGAGTGTCACTTAATTTGCAGGAAGTCAACTGCCACTAATTGCAATAAACACTTCCACTCCTTTTGTCTGACTTTCAGTGCAGCTGAGCCCAAGTCTGCAACGTGCTGGCTTACACTTTCTCCAGTCATACTATTTGACTTTGGCAATTCAAAATTATTCTTTCTTTGTTCTCTGCACAGTAGGATAAACCAAACCTGTTTGTTTAGTGTACTGTTCTCCACCAGTGCCTCATTGCCCTCTCAATTGTGAAGCCCTTTATTTGATTTTATAATTCCAGGTACGTTCAGGACTTCTGTTTTCACTCATTCATCAGAGTAAATCTGACCAAATTCAGGCTAACCTGCATCATTTTGCAGAGTTTCTTTGGGCATTACCCATCTCATCCACTCCATGCTTTCCATGCCACATATTCCACTTATGGGACATGTTTGGCTTTGCTTTGAGCCAAAGTGTGTAACTTACAGGATGCATCCTTTAGCCAAGACACTGTCTGAGACTCTCCTTGGTCTGCAACCCCAGCTATGAACTTTTGTGCTGGCCTGACCTGCCTTGCTAAGCCCACACTTAAAGGCTATGTGAGTTAAGGTGTGTGCTGTGTGATGATTGTAATCCCTCTTGGATGTGTAGGGAAGAAGAGCCTCCACTGATGAGACCATGCAGCTGTGTGCAGCTGGCACTGAGCTCCCTTGAGATGCAAAATCCCATGCAAGTTCGAAGGTCAGACAGATGGAGTGTGAGAAGCTCAGGTTAGACATCAAGGAGTGTTTGCTGGGGGGAACGTGTCCCTAAGCCATGAGGAGCACAGAATCTATTTCATATCCTTATGAGTTTACTAAGTGCTGGCGATTGTTTAGTTACAGCTGAGCAGATGATATTAGATAGCAGCCCAACTCTTTCATTTGCTCCTTGAGGGAACAGCATCCAGCAGCATGTTTTTATGGTTCTGGTAAGAGGTGAAGTCACTGTGCCTTGATTAATTAAAGACAAATGATTCATTCCTTTGAGGGCAGTGCTTGACTTATAGCTTTACCATCTGCTGCAGCCTGAGCTGGAAACTCTGAGGCGGTGGCCAGAAGTGCTGGCTTCAACACAGCATCCCTGGAGTGATACCCCGTGCGAGCAGTCTGGTGAACAGTTCAGCTCTGGCCTCGTAGGGGCAGGAAATTATGGGAGAGAGCTTTCTGACAGATCTCTGGTACGAAATGGCAGGAGCTCTTTTTTTGGGAAGCAGAACCTCTGAAATCTGTGGAAGGAAAACTACCAGCCTGAGGTTTGACAGCCACGGTGTGACTAGATGGTGTATTTGTGTGCCTGGCATGCTCTTGTGGCAGAGGGCTGAGGAGCAGCAGGCAGACCCCCAGCTCAGTAGCTGTGTTTACGCACTGATCGTTTCATCTTGGCTGAAGGGGAGCGTGAGAGCTTGCCACAGACGCACAGCATTGCCTGGTCCGGCTCCAGGCTTGAATGTAATGAGGTATGAAAGCATAATATGCTGACCCTGACAGTACTGAGTTTCCCTGATTCCTGAGGAGAGTGAAGCTGGTTGTTGTACTGCCAGTGTCCAGTAACCAAGGCTCCCCAGCAACATTTAATTTTCAGTAGTGTCAGCGCTCTAAGAGTTGGCTTTGTCTCCAGTGCAGGCTTGCACTCACCTAGATAAGATGCCAGGGCTTGTTTGCATTGTGCTTTGGGCTGTGGCACATGGCTTCAAGGTTGTCTGTCCCTATATCCAGGGGTTGCAGTTGTTTTCCTTGTCTTCCTTGCTGATTACCTGCGCTTTCTCTCGGATCCAGTAAGGAGCAACTAATTTATGTGAGGTCTTTGCTAATTGCTCTGAAGTGGGGTGTGATGGTGCTTTGTGTGCACTCTTCAGGTCATTGGCATCGGGGCAGGCCAGCAGTCCCGCATCCACTGCACACGGCTGGCTGGTGACAAGGCCAACAGCTGGTGGCTGCGGCACCACCCGCGTGTGCTCTCCATGAAGTTCAGAGCAGGAGTGAAGAGAGCAGAGATCTCCAACGCCATCGATCAGTACGTCACTGGCACCATTGGAGAGGTAAGAGGGTTCCCCGATGGTCCTGAGGTCCTGGAGCCTGCTGTGCACGTTGGTGTGCAGCTTGGTGTCTTTGGATGTTTGTCCCTGGTGTTGAGGCAGAGTTAAAGCCTCAGTTTTTAAGTTCTCCCTGCCCCATCGTGCCTGCTGGCTGTTCCTCCTGGCGCTTTGCTGTTTGCTTCTGTGGCATTTTGGATTCCCGGAATCGCTTTGACCTCCTCAGTGCAAGTGAGACAAGAAAATAGCATGCCCTTTTTAAGTATTGAAAGCCAAGAGCTGGACTGGGGACTGAATGAATCATCTCGGAGTGGCTGCTGGTTTAAGGGGATAAGAACGCCAGTGCTGTTCAGAAGGTGAATCACAATCCAAGCTGCTCTGCTGTTTGCCGTTCGTGAAGTCATCCTCTGCACCCAGGTGGTGTGTGCTGGCATTGACACAGAGCAGCACTCTGCAGGCAGGCTGAACAGAGCATCTTGGAGGAGATCCTTGAATTTTGGGGTGCAGAGGGGAGGAGGAGGTGTTTAAAGGACGCAGGTAGAGCTGAGATTGGCAGGGCCTTCCCACCATCACTTGGGGTTGTCAAATTTCTGGTGTGAGGTTGTCAGCAGCAGAGCTGTGGGAGCAGAAAGCGCAGCTGCAGTGGGTCAGAGGGACGCCATCGCTCATCCCGACGTGCCCCCGCTGGGTACTGCCAGCAGCTGGTGCCTTGGGGCTGAGCTGGCATTTCTCATTCCTCTAGGATGAGGACCTGGTGAAGTGGCAGGCCATGTTTGAAGAGGTGCCCGCACAGCTAACAGAAGCTGAGAAGAAGCAGTGGATTGCCAAGCTGACCGCTGTCTCCCTCAGCTCCGATGCGTTCTTCCCTTTTAGGGATAACGTTGACAGAGCCAAACGGGTAAGGCCTCATCGTGGCTGGGCTTCCTGCTTGAGCGCAGTGCACAGCTCTGGGGAATGCCTCTGCTCTGTGCTGAGGGTGCTGTGTCCTGGGCAGGGTGGTGGTGTGGTTACTGGCCTCATGTGGATGGTGATTATCTTGCCATTGCTGGGGTTGTTGGTTTAGGATGAAAAGAGCTGAGCACTCATGAGGAACTCCTCTTTGAATTGCTTTGGGCAGTGGAGGCTGTGCTTTTTTTCAGTGCTTAGAGTGAGATGTTAATGAAGAACTGAGGCTGCCAGTTCCTTTTCAGGGCAGTTTCAGTCCTCTAATCCCTCTGCTTATCTCTGTCTTTGTTCAGAGTGGAGTTCAGTTCATCGCTGCCCCATCTGGCTCTGCTGCTGACGAGGTTGTGATTGAAGCTTGCAATGAGCTGGGAATAACTCTTATCCACACCAACCTTCGGCTGTTCCATCACTGAGTTTACTGTGGGCTGTTGTGGCCCCCGTTTGGTCACAGTCTCACCAGCAGTGACTGAAGCATCACCAGCTCAAGGAGGCAACTGCAATCTGTATTTTATTTAGCAAGTATTTGTAAGATCTGCAAACAAGACCTTTCCCTGCACTAGCAGAGGATAATAGTGCAGGTGGTTGACCTCTAATGTAGAAGAGTCTTTCCTACGTTTCTGCATATCTCTTACAAATAAACACATGGTTCTTAACTGTATGAAGAGTGTCTTGTGTCATGCAAATACCGTGTCCTGAGGTTTATTTTTGAAGGAAATCTAGGGGCATACATTGTGCACTGACTTCACCAGTTCATGAGAAGGCCATTGGAATGGTGTCAGTTTGGCTTATGGCCAGCATATTAAATAAATGGATAAAAGTCTGGGTTGTCAAGTGGACTGAGCCACTGCTTTGGAATTTGGACGTACTTTTTTTTCCAGGTGCATCTGATCCGTTGTGGGGTGAGGAAAGTGGATCGTTTATTCAAGTGCAGTGCTCAGCCCTGCCCTAGATGAGCTTTTGGCTGGAGGCAGCATCAGGTGGGTGTCTTAAAGGTGGCAGAGCTCATTCCTGCAAGTTTGTCATGCTCATTCCCAGGCACAGAGCTCAGTTCAGAGTTCAGACACGGGCATGCAGGAAGCAACTTGCCCGGAGCTGCTTCCATTCTCCACTCTGCAGTTTGTATTAAACGGATTTGAACTCTGATTAGAAAACCAGTGAAAATCTGGAGCAGAGCTGAGATGAGTGAAGTAACAGTTCAGGCACGTTTTTGCTGGCAGTCAGTGACCATTTCGAAGGGATCTTTTGGTTCCATTTTATAAAATCTGTTTGGTTTTGGCAAGGAGCAACCCACAGCCTTGCAATAAACCAATCTGTCACGGCTTTGATCTCCAGTGGTACGGGGAGGGATGTCCACATCTGTTCCTTTTGCTAAAGCTAACGTAGGGACACACAGGTAAGAAGGACCTGGGAGAGGGGAAGGTCGGGTCCTGCTGCTCCTGCTGCTGCCTTGCCACGGCTGTGGGCATGGATGATTTACTTGAGGTGGTGACTCTGTGACAATAAGGGCTGCCTGTGGGGTGGTCAGACACAGGACCTGGGGTTTCACTCTCAGGTTGTGCTGCTCCAATGCAAGGAACAAGCACTGTTTGACAAAGGCTTCTCATTGCTGTCCTTTGGCATGGGGGAAGATCACCTTTGTCAAGCATTTGCACGCGTGTGCAGAGCTGTGCACGCTGTCACCTAGCTACCTTCCTTGCCTTGCCTTACCTTGTCTTCTCCTTGCACCATCACAGCAACACTCAAGTCTTGGCTGGAATGTGAAGGTTAGCAGAGAAAAACCCTTTGGGGTTTACTGAGATGCCTTCAAAGTGTATGACGCCTCCTTGAGCTGCAGTCCTGCCTCTCTTATCCAGAACTGAGCAAAGCTGAGAAGCTTGAGACTTCCAGATTAAGACAGTAGCCCAGAATAAAAACAGTGCATTACTCAATGTTCTAAAGCTCCCTTGCTGGCTGTGCTAACCCCAGCTCTAGCCAGTGTGACTGCTTGCTACGCCATTGCTTCCTGTGGAATAGCAGTGGTCGGAGTCCTTGTGGTTTTTATTAGTATATACTTCTAAAAAGTTGAGATTGAGACTTTCTCTTCCACTTCCAATGTGCCTTTTCTGTCACTGTTTGGATCGCAGCCGGTGCATACCGTGCCACGAGTGTCCCTCAGAATCCACTGGCCTGTTCTTTATCCCGACCTTCTGAAGTACTGAGGCTGATAATGAGCATCTAGCCAGCTCCCCTTCTGATGTATTCCTCATGAGCTGTGCTCATCTGCTAGTTGAATGGATACCTGCAGTGATTCTAAGCTACCTCCCCAGCTCTGCTTCGCATCCATTTCCCACAGCAGAGAGCACGTCTGTTCTCACAGGAGATGGGTCTGGTCCCTGCACTTGATGTTTGAAGAGCAGGCTGCTGACAGCTCTGCTTCACACCATTGCCATATGGCGCCTTGCCCTTGGCAGGTCCGTGCTGGCAGCCAGAACAGCTCCTAGAAGCATTGAAGCAAACAGCAGGGAGGAAGCATTCTCAGCTGGGGGAGCAGCAGGGGCTCAACCTTTCCCTTCAGCCTGCTGGGGCTCCTTGCAGGTGCAGGGTGCTCCAGTCACTTGATGCACTACGACTTGGCTGAAGCATGAGAACCTTCAAAATCTGCAGTTGGTTCTGTGGCTGATCCTTTGGAGAATAAAGGAAGCAGGGCTGATGTTTGGGATCTCACGAGTTTCTGCTGTGTCTGTGCTCAGCTGGTGGCTATCGGTGTTAAATTCTACTAGCAGTGTGAACCCTCGTGTTTTTCAAAGAGTACAAACCTCTATGGAGGGGTTGGGCAAATGCATTATTTAAACCATTTCATGCTGTAATATTTACTCTGTTTGTGCTGTTTTGCCATTACAGTGAGGAGATCAAATGGGCTACAACTTCAGCATGGCTCCTGCGTGCCTCTGGAATGTGTTTCTTCATGGCACAGTGAGCAGGGATTTTGGCAACTCACCTCTGGTCCAAAATACATAACTCTCCCTTGAGAAGGACAAATTGAAAGAGGTCTGGTTCAACATAAAAGTGTTCTTCTGCGTCTCTCTATGCCACTTCTACTTTGCAAGTGTTTTAGATAATCGTTTAACCCTTGAAAATTGATTACTGGGATAGAACTGATTTCTCCTGCATTCATCTTCCTATTTGCAAACGTTTTGGCTGCTCTAGAGATAGCAATCTGTGAAAGCAACTGCCGTGTGTGTTTCTCATGTCAAGAAGCCAGTTTCTGTTTCCATGCTATGCTTTATTCAATCCAGAGAAATGCATGACTTGAGCAATACAGCGCCGTTGGAGCCAAGTGAGGAACGTGGCCGAGGAATCATGGCAAGAGCCTTTAATGTTCTGCATTGCAATGGCTGTACAAAGTTTTTGCAGGGATAGCAGCAAAAGCTAAAGCGACTTCGTGCTCATTTTGTCCATCGTCATCAAGACGTTTGGTTGTTTTTGTTGGGTTTTTTTTGTTATAAAGTGCTTTAACAGGAGTTTTTATAGCCCTCACCCCAAGGTTTAAGCATGGTAGACTTGAGATCTGCACAGAGCGAGGTGCTGTCTGGCTTTGAGGCTTTCTGCAGAGGTAACAAAAGGATTTCTATGACTTTCTTTACAGCACTGCCCAAGGGGACGTGGTGGTATGTCGCTGGTATGTGAACTGGTAGGGAGTTTTGCTATTTACCACATTGCACACGTAATGGGATAGTTGAGATTTGAAAGAACAGTGTGACAGCCCCCAAAGAAGCCCTTTAGACAGTCACAAGTCATCCTCCATTGCAGAGAGCAGGGAGCTGTGGTCTTTCCCATCTCTAGGGGAAGAAGTGCAGCAGGGGCAGTGATGTGGCCAAGAACAA